TCTTCCAAGGTGATGTTTGGCTTCAAATCCATAAACCTTGTCAGTATACTTTCATGTATCTTTGAGTGTCGAAAATTTTTGATGTATTTTATTCACGTGCTCAAAGAGCCATGTGTTGAAACCAGTAAGCATCCAATCTGCAAAGGGAGAATCATTCACAAAGGAATGCTGAAACTTTTCTTTTAGCTCATAACTCCTTTATAATATCCTACACACTTAGGTTTAAAACAATAGAGAAAGGTATACTGATTCCAGTGCTTCAGAGAAAGCTGATAAGTGGGTGGGTAATGCCTTGGATCTAATTAAATTCACCTGGCATCATTTACAGTAGCAGTTAGACCTTTGGGCAAACTTTTATAGGTTAAGGCTCCTCCATGGATGACTCTCAGCATTTTCAGAACAAATTCCAACTGTAAACTTTCTGCCATCACCACAGCAGCATCAGTCCACAGACTTGTGCAGAGTTTCCACAATATTTCAAAATATTTGTCTATCACTTTGAGTACTTCAACCTTAGTTTTTTTGGTGCTTCTGGCATTTCTCTTAAGGCTTTCTGACCAGTACTATAAACCAATCACAGTTAATCAACATCCTGAGATATATCAATATAAAATGAAAACTTCTTTGATTCAGTGATCTTCTGGGTTAGTGTTATCTTGATATCCCTTGACCTGTCATCAGTGTGTCTCCTAACGGAAATCATTGAAAGTGTCCCCTTTTTTATTTGGTCTCAAATGTGTGGACAATTTCGCAGCAGACTGCTAACATAAAAGATTCTACTGGGCAGGCATCTTAGCTTTACTGGTTAATTGCATAACCTTGTTACTAGCTGGTTGAGCTCCATCTAAGAATGTTCTAACTCATCTCAAAAAAGAGCCCAGTTTCTTAATTTGCTCTTCTAGATGCTTCAAAAGGTCCATATCTTTCTTTGTGCAGTAGATTGTTTTGTGGTCTGTTGACCAACATAGCCTACTGGGAAAGTTTCTTTTGATAACTTTTCCGTGCAGATTGGATGTTTAGGCTGAGGATAAGAGGGCTAATTGGCAGCTGAACTCAAGTCTGAGACAATCCTCATTAAATTGTTTTAATTAGGAATATCCTGGATTATTTTGTAGGGGAGACTACTGCATTTGTCTTATGAGTCTCCTGATTTTCCAGCTTTGATCAAAAAGTCCAATTTGATGAGGAAAGAAATATCTTAAAAATTAAATCTACTTGAATATGAACCATTGAAGGGGTCAGCAGACCTTTGTGACTTCTGAAAATTGATTTTTTTCCCCAAAATCAAGTTCTAGGTCTTCTATATTTTTAAGCAGCACTCAGAAAGGCTTAGAGTTCTCTTTAATGAATCAATTCAACTGTAGTCAGGCTGCACTTGTTTATTGACAGATTTTTTACATAATAAAAGATAAAAATTTGGAGAAGGAAATGGCAACTCACTCCAGTATTCTTGCCTAGAAAAGTCCATGGACAGAGGAGCCTGGCGGGCTGCAGTCCATGGGGTTACATGACTGAGCATGTGTGCACAAGGGTGGAGGGAGATGGGTTGGTAGCAATAAAGTGGTAGAACTAAAAAAAAAGATAAAAATTAATTGTGAAATCAATTATGAAATCCTGCCAAGAATCAGATTTGCCAAATTTTAAATATTAAAAGCCAGTAGCAAATAAATCAATAAATAAGCAAAAAAATAATAAAAATGTTCTAATATTTTTTAAAGAGTTCTTATCTTTTAGAAATAATTACTGAAATTCTTATGGATGAAATGGCATAATATACAAGCTTCAGAATACTCTGAAAGTGGGAGAACTGGGTGAGATTATAGGTGAAACAAGACCCTATGAGTTGACTGTTGGTGAAGCTGGGCAGTGGGTGCACAGAGGTTCATTACAGGATTCTTTTACATTTCTGTTTGAAATGTTCGAGAAGAAAACATTTTTTAAAAAATAAAGAAGCAATAATCAAGGAAATTAACAAAATAGGTGTATTCTCTTTAGGACACCTAATACTATATAGGGCTTCCCAAAAGAAGCAATAATCAAGGAAATTAACAAAATAAGTATATTCTCTTTAGGAACACCTAATACTACATAGGGCTTCCCAGGTGGCACAGGGGTAAAGAATCCACCTGCCAATGCAGGAGACGCAAGAGATGCAGGTTCAATCCCTGGGTCAGGAAGATTCCCTGGAAACCGAAATGGCAACCTTCTCCAGCATTCTGGCCTGGAAAATCACATGGACAGAGGAGCCTGGCTACAGTCCATGGGGTTGCAAAGAGTCGGACACAATTGAGCAACTGAGCACATGATGCTATATGATAGTAATAACAGCTACAATCATATAGCCCTTCTTTTTTTGTAGAAAAAAAAATTGCCCCCAAATAAAAATGAGATGAAATTAAAAGAAAAGCAAACATTGTACATGTATGGGCAAAAGCAAAAAGCCTCACTGATTATGAACAAAAAGTGGCAATCAAAGTAATAATCCAACTCTCTGGGATGTTCCTACAGGAAGCAGTCCAGACATTTACAACCTTTCTTCTCACGTGGTCCCCTTGAGCCCCATCTTGCTCCAGCCCGGGGCAGCTCTGCTAATGTTTCCACCTGTATGTTCCAGAGTTGGCTGCTCTGTGCACTTGCACAGGTTTGTCTCTTGATATATACCTGTTGCAGGATGTATATGTCAAGTAAGTATATCTGGGTTGTGAGCAAGATGGTGTGTGTATAGACATCTGTGTGTGAGAGTGTATCTGTGTATACTATATCTGGCTTCTCTGTGTTTGCTTGTGCTTGCATTTTGCTAAGGTGTGTGTGTGTGTGTGTGTGTGTGTGTGTGTGTGTGTTCATTGGAGCTGGCCTACTTCTCTGCATAATGTACATGAATGGGCAACTGTGTGTATCTGTGCTAGGGTATACACATCTGTGTTGGTGAGTGTAACTAATCTGTGTGAGACATCTTGGATCAGTTGGTCTCTGTGTGTTAGAGTATGTACATGTGTGTATATGTGAGTAGTTTTTAACTAGTCTGTTTCTTCTGTTGGTATCCAAGTGGCAGTCTGTATACACATACATATGTGTGTTTGTGTGTGTATATATGTGTGTGTCAGGGTTCAAGTGCATGTGAGCATGCCGGTGTATGTAACTGAGTGTTAACATGTGTAACCATGATTGTATATGTGATAATATAGATATGCCACTGTTTTCATACCTGTGTTGCGAGAGTTTGAATACATGAGAGGATTTGAATAATCAGGTACACTGGGACAAAGGGTATATATGAGCCTGAGTGTGAGTGACAATGAGTAGGTTTACGTGTGTGTATCTCTCAGGATTTAAGAATTTGTATGTGTGTTAGGGGAGTTGTAATTAATGGGTTTGTGGGCCACTGCACATGTATGTGTATGTGCGTGTGTGTCTGGGTGTGTCTGTGCGTATGATCAATTCTTAGCCCTCCCTTATACAACACCCTCTTTTATGTAACACATTTTGTAACACCCCTTTACCATCTGGACATTAAGTTCTTAGATAATATAACCTCTCTGCATAAATAATTTCAAAAGAAGACATATAGTATTTTATACCATATCCACATTGTATTAACTCTAATATAAATAAATAAGAAATAAAAGTGATTTATAAGAAAATAATTTGTATTTCAATACAGAAATGCTTGAACATGACACTCCCTAAGAGATTCAGTGAATTAAAGGCTTGTAACATAACAGGTAAACATGGATTTAGAGAAGGGGAAAAATCAGAAGCTGCCCTTTGTACAAACTGCAGGAAAATGACAGGCAAAGGTCTAGGAATGAGAGTTTCCGAAATAGTGAACTACTCAAAGAAAGTACTCCACAAAACAAAGCATAGTCTCTAGACTTAACATGACAGCCACATTCCTGGATAATTCAGGATATATTTAATCAAAGAAACAACTGTGTTTATCAGTGAAATAGAGTCTAGGTTCAGTTCATGCCAAGTCCAAAATTCTATGGGATATGAGACATATGTTGATTGTGTGGAATTGCCCTACAGGTCTCCAGACAGCCGACATCCTCACGGACTCCAAAAATGTTATAGGGACACACCCAGCGCTGTGGAAACCAAAAAATGCGCCTATAAATTTCCAAAATTTCCCCTAGGGGGCAGTAATACCCTTATTGAGAACAAAGCGCCAGTGTTTAAGCAGGGGTACACTGTGCCGTGTGAATGAGGCAGCATACACAATATACGGTGTGTGTGTGTGTGTGTGTGTGTGTATGTGTGTGTGTATGCACACCTCGCATGCACACCAGTGCCCCTATATGTGAGCTGGTTGCTGTCCGTTGGTCTCTATAGAAGTAGCCTATGTGATTCTGAGTGTGTGTGTTGGTGTCTGTGTATCTCTGTCTAAGGGCATCTGGGCACAAGCAGGTGTGTACACGTTACGCATATGGACATGCATCCTTAGTCTCGGATGGTCCCAGGCTGTGGCTGCCCATCCATGCTCAGACCCTCTCCTCATTTTTTATATTATCACCCCAGCTTTCCAGGCAACACCAGGGTTTTGTTTGTTTGCTGGTATTGTTTTATGTTTTTTTGTTTTGTTTATTCTGTTTTAGTGTTTGTTTTTGTTTTCGCTGAGACTCTGAGCTACACATTATCCACTTTCTTGGTCTTAGTTTGTCTCTCTGTGTCTCCCTCTCTCTGCATCCACCTTTATTTCTGCCTCTCTCTATCTCCATCACCTCTCTATATCTGTCTCTCACTCCCCAACCCTGTCTCTTTATTTCTCTACATCTTTCTCCCTTTCCTGGCATTATCCCTGTCCTTCTATCTCTTTGTCTCTGTCTCCCTCCCTCCTTCCCTCTCTCTCTCTGTCTCTATTTTTTCTCTCTGTCTCTCTCTCTCCCACTCTCATCTATTTTCCCCTTTCTGTCTCTATATTCCTCCCTTGTTGGTCTCTTGCACTGTCTCTGTTTCTCTGTGTCTGTCTGTCTGTCTTTTTTTGGCTTCCTTTCTTCTTCCTCTTTCTGTCTCCTCTTCTCTATGTAAACCTCTTTCCTTTCTCTGTTTATTTCTCCCACCCCTCCCCGCCATGTTCCTATGTCTCCATCTTTCTGTTTCTGCTCCTCTCTCTCTGTCACTTGTGTGTCTGACTCTATCTTACATTCAATTTCTGTCTCTATCACTTCCCCCTGCCACTCCTCAAGGCTCAGGAGTGTGTGTGTGTATGTGTGTGTGCATATTTACACACACCCAGCTATCAGCTAGTCCACAGATCTGTGGGAGCTGTGAGGCCTTGAGGGGCTGAAGGGGCCCACCAGCTCCACTTATCTCAAGCCCCTGCCCTAGCACCTTCTCTTGGTCCACTGGCACTGGCTCTGAGACTTTGGGGGTACCATGAGAAAAGTTTGGCCCCAGGTGGCTGTGGCAGGCTCAGTTGGATTGAACTGAGAAACAGTGCAGAGGGGAGCCATTTTCCAGGGAGGGAGGGGGAAGAAAGACATCCACTCAAGCCCCACATCTTCCAGCCTCAATCCCATCCCAGCCCCAGCAGGAGCTCTGAGCTTCTCTGGCTTCTGCTTTACTGCCTCTCCTGGGAAACCTGCCCTGCTATCCTATCACACCCTATATCCCCCACCCAGCCCTCATACACTAGGAGCTCTCCTACTTACCCCCAAGCTTTCCTGTGCCCTCCCATTCACACACTGCCCAGACTGCTTTCTCAGCAAATATTACTTGGATGCCTCCCGGTGGCCCTCCCTGAGCCACTAGCCCCCTAGTCCCTCAACCAATTGATTTGACAGCTTTTGACTGAGAGCCTACGGTGGGCTCTGCACTGCTCTTCTAGAGTGTGTGAGTCGATAATCCCTACCCTCGTGGAGCTTTCCTTCTAATAGGGAGGGGCAAGCAATAAATCAAAATTTAAAAGTGAATATTTTATACTAACCATAAATGAAGTATAATCTTTAAAACTGTGAATCACTATCTATAACTTATATAATACTTACATCAACTATATGACAATATAAATAAATAAATTAAAACAACTATTAAAAAAGGTAAATTATGTAGTGCATCAGAAGAGAGAAATTCCAGGAAGAGAAATAAAGCAGGGCAGGGGGACACAGGGGTGCTGTTTTCTCACCCAGATTACTACAGGAGCCTCCTAAGTAGTATCCCTACTTCTACCTTCGCCTCACATGATCTATGCTCCTCACAACAGCAAGCAGGATCCCATTCAATCCTGAGTCATATCACATCTTATCTCTGCAAAACTCTCCCATGGCGCCCATCTCACTCAGAGTAAAAGTCAAGAGTCCTCAATGTGACCTATGTGATCTGGCCTCACCACCTTGCTGAGCTCTCCTCCTACCACTTTCCCCCTGCTCATTCCCTCCCACCTACCTCCTTACTCTTCCTCAAATGTGCCACGTGCAGTCTCACCTCAGAACCTTTGTTCTGGCAATTCCCCCTGCTTAGACTTCTCTTCTCCCAGATATCCACATGGCTCGCTCACCTCCTTCATATTTTTGCTCAGATGTCACTTCTTCCATGAAGCTTCCCCTGTCCACCTCATTTAAAACTGTACTTCCAAAAATAAATAAAACTGAACTTCCTCCACCCCTGGCACTTCCTATCCCCCTTCCCTCCTTAAATTTAGGAACTTATCATCATCTGGCCTACTATATTTCACCTATGTATCTTCTTTATTATCTAGAATGTCAACTTCACAAGAGCAGAGACCTTTGTCTGTTTATTTCACATCTGTGTCACCAGTGCCTGGCACACAGTAGATGCTCAATAAATAGTTTTTCAAGAAATGAGTACATACAAGCATACCTATATCTTTATGTTCACACATACTTTCCACTTCATTTAAAGTAAAAACCCAAGTCTTTGTCATGGCCCACAGCCCTGCACAATCTGGCCCCAGACCCCTCTGTGAATTAACTTTCCACTGTCTCTCTTGCCTGCCCTGTTCCAACCACACTGATCTTCCTACTGTTCATGAGTGTGCTAAACACATTCTTCATTATGAATAAAGAAACCTATTTAATGAGTAGCTACTAGTGTTAACCAAAAAGAAAAAAATAAAACCACTGTGAAATAGAATAAAAGCTAATGAGGTACATTACATATAGGATCTGTACTGTTTTGTGAAACTTTGGGTTCAGCTCTATGTGCACATGTGTGTATGTGTATCAGGTTGTGATATAAGATGTATTTCTTATTATGGGTGGCAGTTTTAAAAGTTTGAAGAACACAACCTTTGGGCTTTACAAAGGGAGAGAAGAGCTGCACCCACATCCCCATCCCACAGACCCACCAATGGAGGAAAGAGGTAACCGAGGACATCCAGAGAGATGAAGCACCCCTCACTCAGCAAGGAGGGAGGAGGAGCAGCGTGGGCCAGGGGCAGGGCCTGACACCAGCTGGGAGTAAGAGGGGAGGCCGCGTAGACACACTAACACTGCCCTTTCTCTTTCTTCCTCACCTTTCCTTTCCATCTGTTTCTCACTGTTTCTTTTTCTTGTGTTTCTCTCTCTCCCTCCCTACTCTCTCCTTTCCCCCTCTTCTTGTCTCTCTGGCTCTGTTCTGTCTCCCTATCTTTTCTAACTCTTTCTCATCCCCTCCATTTCTGTCTCAATTTGTGTCCATTTTCTCTTTGTTCTGTCCTTTCTCACTCTCTTGTGTGTTTTCACGCTCTCTCCTGCCCTCATACCTCTGTCTATCTGTGTCTGTGTCTCCCCCATTATCCTCATTTGCAGGTGCAGCCCAGAAGAACAACTGATGGAGTCCCCTGGGGCCCACCGAGTACTGGACTGGCTGACCCCATAGGGTTGGGAGCAGCCCCTGCCCCTCAGTATGGCCAACACCACTGGAGAGCCCGAGGAGGTGAGCGGTGCACTGTCTCCACCATCAGCAGCGGCTTACGTGAAGCTGGTGCTGCTGGGACTGATCATGTGCGTGAGCCTGGCGGGCAACGCCATCTTGTCCCTGCTGGTGCTCAAGGACCGTGCCCTGCACAAGGCTCCTTACTACTTTCTGCTGGACCTGTGCCTGGCTGACGGCATACGCTCTGCCGTCTGCTTCCCCTTTGTGCTGGCTTCTGTGCGCCACGGCTCCTCATGGACTTTCAGTGCGCTCAGCTGCAAGATTGTGGCCTTTATGGCTGTGCTCTTTTGCTTCCATGCGGCCTTCATGCTGTTCTGCATCAGCGTCACACGCTACATGGCCATCGCCCACCACCGCTTCTATGCCAAGCGCATGACACTCTGGACATGCGCAGCCATCATCTGCATGGCCTGGACCCTGTCTGTGGCCATGGCCTTCCCACCTGTCTTCGACGTGGGCACCTACAAGTTCATCCGTGAGGAGGACCAGTGTATCTTTGAGCATCGCTACTTCAAGGCCAATGACACGCTGGGCTTCATGCTTATGTTGGCTGTGCTTATGGCAGCCACACATGCTGTCTATGGCAAGCTGCTCCTCTTCGAGTATCGTCACCGCAAGATGAAGCCTGTGCAGATGGTGCCAGCCATCAGTCAGAACTGGACATTCCATGGCCCTGGGGCCACTGGCCAGGCTGCTGCCAATTGGATCGCTGGCTTTGGCCGAGGGCCCATGCCACCAACCCTACTGGGTATCCGGCAGAATGGGCATGCAGCCAGCCGGCGGCTGCTGGGCATGGACGAGGTCAAGGGTGAAAAGCAGCTGGGCCGTATGTTCTACGCGATCACACTGCTCTTCCTGCTCCTCTGGTCACCCTACATTGTGGCCTGCTACTGGCGAGTGTTTGTGAAAGCCTGCACCGTGCCCCACCGTTACCTGGCCACTGCTGTTTGGATGAGCTTCGCCCAGGCTGCCGTCAACCCAATCGTCTGCTTCCTGCTCAACAAGGACCTCAAGAAGTGCCTGAGGACTCACGCCCCCTGCTGGGGCACAGGAGGTGCCCCAGCTCCTAGAGAACCCTACTGTGTGATGTGAAGCAGGCTGGTAGGCAGACAGGCAGGGAGAAGGTCGTGGCCACCACGATGGAGCCAACAGAAGGGAAGAGGTAGGGCTCCACACAGGAGCCTTTCTTTCTGAGCTCCAGCCCCAGACCCTGGAACAACCTGGAATCTAGGCACCTTTGCCAACACCTCCCCAGGGCTGGGGACTGGGTGGGGACTGGGAAAGATGCATTTCTAGTCCTATGGGGCCTGTCTCCACCTCCTCCTTCTCCTCCACTTCTACAGTCTCTCTCCTCTCTCTCTCTCTCTCTCTCTCTCTCTCTCTCTCTCTCTCAGAAGTGACAATTCAGAAAAAAAAAAACTGAAAATGCAGGTTTTCCTACTCATAGCTGAGGAGACAGGCTTTCTTGCTTTAATGTCTCTCCTCTGATATTGTCCAGAAGGGGGAAATTTGTCCTGTAAAATAGACTTCTAGAGCTCTTATTGTCCCCTCTGCTCCCATGCACCCTCTCCTTCCAAGTCCTTTAGCAAGGCCTGAATGAAATTGATCTGCTGATGAGAGGGACCAAAGTGGGTGCTCGGTCCCCAGGGAGCAAGGTTTCATTGCTATGTTGTGTGCAATGTTGTTTTAGGCTAACCCTGGTCCCAAGGCCAATCTTTTATCCATCCCTACCATGTCCAGACCCCCCAAGTGTTTCTTGAGCATCTGTTTGAGAAACAAGGAGGGGAGGGAGAAGGGCCTCTGGGATGGGCCCAGGTTAGGTGAAGAGCAGGATGTGAGCAATATGCCTTGAGCTGAAGAGACCTCAGCTTGACTGCATTCTCTCAAGCTGCCTCCAGGATCCCCATCCTACAGCTCTTCTTCCTGAGGATGGAAATCCACTCCAACCCCACTGAAGTCGATGGGTGCCATACAGGCAGGAGCAGCACCCCTCCAGGGAGTGCTGTAGGGAAGCACTCCAGGGAAGTGTAGGGAGAAAGTCAAACTCCCCAGAATGGCTGAATCCCAAAGCCTGGGGTCAGAGCAGAGTTGAACCCCAGAATTGTTTCCTGAGTTCATGCTACTCTCCTGAAGATGAAAATTCTTTGAGGGCCTTGGTAAGTCATTGTGGTATAAGCTCCAAGGCACTGTGGACTTGAGTCCATTCCTCTCTGACCTCTTTTGTACCTTAAAGCCTCAGGGGCCTCAGGCCCCTCTGTGGTAACCCTTGGCCTTCTGGGCCCTTAGCCCCCACCTTCCTTGCTCTGAACAGCCCTTCCCCCTCTTCTTCCTTCCACCATCACTTCCACCCCAAGTGGAGCAGAATGCAGCCAGATTTCCCAGGTGGGAGCTCCAAAGCCTCCTTCCCAGGGCAGAGCCTACTCTGGGTTCACATCAAGTCTTATGGACTGGTGAGCCAAACTGGCATTCTTTGCCTGGTCTTTCCCAAGTTCTCTTTCCCCCTCTTATCTCCTGGGAGAGGGGGAGATCTGTATTTTTCCACCCCCTTTCTCTCCCCTATAGAAGCCCTTGTCCTACACTCCCTCCCTACCCTAAGACAGCTCCGGAACTGGGCAAGCCTCGACTTAAGCAAGAGGAATGGAGAAGGCACTCTAGGCAGGAGAGACATTAATGAGCCTGGTTATGGAGTGGCCCTGGAAAGGCAGGCCAGAGTGGCTGAGAGACTGGTATACAGGGGGGTACCTGTTCTCTTGGTGATAGTGATGGGGGTGCCTTTCCCAGGGAGTGGGGTGGGGGTAGATAGGGTACATTCAGGAGGATTTTCCTCTATTTCTTTTTTCTAACTGCCTGGATTCACCACTGGATTTTGTAAATGGAAAACTGAAATGAACAATGCTATATTGGATGTTTTCTCTTTCTGTCTGTCTGTGTGGGTGGGTGTGTGCCCTATCTGCTATGACCACATGTAGGGAGGTATGGTCAAGTGAGACAGTGTGTCTGTGTGACTTTGTTGGGGCACACTCTGGCCTGGGGCACATATGTGAGCAAATGCCTGTATGTGGAGACATATACAGTGCATGTGAGCACACACATGCACATATGCACCTAATTGAGAGAAGACAAAACAGTATGTGTCTGCAGCAGGAAGCAGAGTGGTCAGAGAGATGGAACTTGAAAATGATATGTATGGATGTAGCAAGAGGGTAGACTCCCATCTCAGAAGATCTTCCTCCCCTGGCCCAGGCTCTGAACATGGGGGACAGGATACTTGAGAATCCCATCTCTTCCAAAAGTCTGGAGCCCCCAGGTACCACTCCCAACTCCTGTATGAGTCTCCTCTCAAAAACCCAGATAAGGTGTTCCTGAAACTGGACCACCATGGAGAATGGGGACTGGTAATTGGGGATCAAACTTGGGGTAACTGTTGGGTTAGGTAATGCCCCCCACACACAAAGTAATGGCTTATGGAGGGACTGCTCGGTCTGGGATAGGATCCACTGTATACAGCTGGGATTTTGGTAAGTTTTGATTAAATTCAGAGGGATGGATGTCACAGGGGATAAAAAAAAAAAAAGCCTGGGAGTCTCCCCAGTCTGCCTGTTCCCTGGGCGCTCAATTAGTTTACTCTGTGAGATGCACAGAATTGAGTTGACCATACTCCTCAGCTCTTGGCACACTGTATCATCATTGGTCCATATGAAGCCCTTATATTCTTTTTTGTTTTGTTTTGTCCACTTCATCACCCATCCCTAATCCCATCACCCCTCCCACATAGGCACCCCACTCTTGTGTATTTAACGTGTGTTTTTCCAATCCACCATTCATGTGTTTTATTTACATATACGTGTATATGTGGGAAATGTATGGTATTGTTATGTGTTTTAATTTACATAAACAGTATTGTACTATAAATCTTGTTCCGTTTCTTTCTTCACTCAACATTCTGTTTTTTGAGATATCCAGCCATGTTGCCGTGTTTACACCTAATTCATTCTAGTGGTCCATCTTATACATATATCACATTTTTCTTATTCATTCTCCTGGATGATGTGTCTGTAGGTGTCTCCAATTCTCTGCTACCACGACAAGACTGCAATGGGCAGTTTTCTAAATGTCTTTTTAGTGACACCTTATTAAGAGGAGAGGAAACAAGCTCAGAAAGAGGCAGTGATTTTGTCAGGTTTTAAAAGTGAGAAGCATACCTGTGGCATGAATCCCAGACGGAAGTCAGAACCCCACCACTGTGCCTCATGAGAGACCATCCATTTGCCCCCCCCCAATCTAAAATACAATTAAAAGCAGCATACACTGAGGAAATTGACAGGAAAGGGTGGAAAGAAGTATGGAGTTGATGAAGAAATAGAAAATCCTAGAAAGATCTAGCAGATGAACTGAATCACAATAATTTTCATGACGCAGAGGAAGTTAAGTTTTTTGGTGTGATTATTATTGCTAGAGCCATTTTGCAGAAATGGGAAACGCCACGTCAAAACCTGGCCCCAAACGAAAGACCTTCGATTTCTAAACCCCAGGCTCCTTCAGGGCCACCCGAGCCCAGAGTTCGCCGCCTCCGAGTTCGCCGCTGCAGGGGCGAAAGCAAGGCCGAGGGGAAGGGGCAGATTTAAGAAGTGCGTAGTTGCTGACGGGGAGGGGGGGGGAGGGAGAGAATGACGGCGAGGCTCTCGAGTCTATCTGAGCACATCCTGCTCACTGCTTGCGCTTGTTTTTCTGTTTAGCGTTTGGGTCTTCAGAACCACTGGTACTTTTCCCATTGGATAAAACGTCGGCGGGTGAGGGAGAAGGGCTTCATCCCCCTCAGATCTCTCCGTGGCCAATCGCCCTGCACAGTCTAGACGGTCGCTGAGAGAGTCAGCCGGGTGATTGGCGGGCCTGAGGGAAGCCAATGGGAAAGTGATGAGGTGCGGTGTTGGCAAGCAGATTGCGTGAGAGCAAGCGGGGAGCTAGGGGGCGCAAGGGCCGCCGCCACGGCTTGCAGCCAATGGCGATGCGGGACGGCCCCTGGCATCACACGGGGGCTGGGCCTGACTGTTGGCGCGGAGGGAGTACGGCAGGGGCTGTGGGCGGTAGCGCCACTGCGAGGCTGAGAGCGGAGCTGGTCGCGTGAGCGTCGGCAGCTTCGCTTCAGGTGTGACGAGCAGCGGCGGCCCGGCCGAGCGCGAAGAACCAAGCTGTGCGAACGCGGTCACCATGGACCGCCCAGATGAAGGGCCTCCGGCCAAGGCCCGCCGCCTTAGTGGCTCCGAGCCCCCTCTGAGCGAGCTGCCGCCGCCGCCGCCTCCTCCTCCTCCTCTCCTGCGCCTGCCCCTGCCTCCACCTCAGCAGCGCCCGAGGCTCCAGGAGGAAACCGAGGCGGCACAGGTGCTGGCTGACATGAGGGGGGTGGGACTGGGCCCCGCTCTGCCCCCGCCTCCGCCCTATGTCATCCTCGAGGAGGGGGGTATCCGCGCATACTTCACCCTGGGGGCTGGGGGTCCCGGCTGGGAGCCCGCAGTCGAGTCAGGGTACGGGGGGTCGTCCCCTCCCGTGGAGAGCCTAGAAACGCTCTCTCCCTCAGAGGTTTCTGGGGGAAGCCTGGAGATTGACTTCCAGGTGACGGAGCCCAGCAGCTTTGCAGGAGAGAAGGCCCTAGAAACCTGTAGCGCAGGGGGGCGGGGGTACCAGAGGTTAGCCGGTCCAAGGGGGAGAGAGGAGACTGTCATCATCGTGGAAGACGACGACGAGGATGAAAAGGAAAGCGTGAGGAAGAGGAGGAGGAGGAGGAAGAGGAAGCCCAGGAAGGTGAAGAGGGAAAGCCCAGAGAAGAATGCCGAGAAGATAGAGTGCATCCTGCAGGCTCTGGAAAACATTCAACTAGACCTGGAGGCGGTGAATATCAAGGCAGGCAAGGCCTTCCTCCGTCTCAAGCGCAAGTTCATCCAGATGCGGAGACCCTTCCTGGAGCGCAGAGATCTTATCATCCAGCATATCCCAGGCTTCTGGGTCAAAGCAGTATCCTTGTCATCTATACTCATGGGCCCGGAGCCCATGACCAGAATTGGGTGGGGGGCGGTGGGAGGAGGGACAGACTGGGTGAAAGGGTGTGGGGGCGGGCCCCAGTTGGAAGAATGAGGAAGTCTGATGGAGAAGGGATGGAAGGAGTGTGGCAAAACATCAGAGAAGCTGGGCTGGGGAAAGGGGAGGGGGCCCATTAAAACTGGACCACAGATGGGAAAGCGAGAGAGAAGGAGCATAGCATTAAAAAATAAATGGATCACAGATAGTGAAAAGGGGAGGACAGAGACACACAGCAGAAAAATTAGACCAGAGATGGTAAAACGAGGAGTGGGGAGAGGGGGACATGGAAGATAAACTGACTCAGACAGTGAAGAGGGAGGGGAAGGGCATACAGCAGAGAATTGGCCCAGAAAGTGTACCCAAGTCACACATGGCTGTGCATGCCTAGGTCTCTACTTAGATTCTAGGGAGACCCCAATCCTGGCTGGAGAGGAGGGGGCCAGAGCCCTGAAGGATCAGGAGAAGGAGTATCTAGAGATTAAGAAGTTAAATGAAGGAAATAACAGTAATTCACTGTTGGTGATAAGCTTATCTCTGGGGGACCATGTAACATGTTAGGAACACCTGGGGTTAACATCCTAATAGAATTACATGGACTCAGACACTTGACACTGTCATACATACATATCACGTGATCACAGGCCCCCAGTACCCAGGCACAGTATCATGTGGCCACAGTCCTCAGTACCCAGACCACACCATCACCTGGACACAAGCCCTCAGACACAGACACACAACATTATGTTGACACATACCCATAACACCCAAATATATAACATCATGTGACAACAGGCCATCAGCAACCAGATATAGCATCATTTGGACATGGGCTTTTCACCCCCAGACACACACAATGTCTTGTCTTGTGAACACTCAGAGACACAACATCACTTGGGTATAGACTCCCAGCACTCAAACACACAGCAAATATCAACCATGGCAGGGCCACCTAATATAGAGGTTTGATATTTTTAAACACAGGCGCTCACCACATGGTATCATGGGAATAAAAGTATGGGTCTTGTCGCATGACCTATTTGCTCCACATACATCACATGAGCACAGAAGGAATTCTGCTCCAGCCTCTCTTTTGTTCTGCCCTGCATATCCCTGTCTGGCCTTCCTTCCCTCCTTCTCATTGAACAGTCACTCCTTGACCTAAACTGCTCCCTCCATCAGTTCCTCAACCACCCCAAAATTTCAATCTTGATCAACCAACGCGATGAAGACATTTTCCGCTACTTGACCAACCTGCAGGTCAGGCCAAAGAAAGATCTTTTCTGCTAGGACTGGGCGAGGAATCTGGTCCTTGGAGGTGAGGGGGGATTGGGTGGGAGGGGCCACAGTGTGGTGGGAATTCCACCATTACCCCCACCCTGAGCAGGTACAGGATCTCAGACATATCTCCATGGGCTACAAAATGAAGCTGTACTTCCAGACAAACCCCTACTTCACAAATATGGTGATTGTCAAGGAGTTCCAGCGCAACCGCTCAGGTAAGAGGTAGCCCCAGAGCAAATTCATCCCCCCCATCTAACCTTGTCCAGTGCCCTCTCTATACCTTCCTTTTCCCCCAGGCCGGCTGGTGTCTCACTCCACCCCAATTCGCTGGCACCGGGGCCAGGAACCTCAGGCCCACAGGCATGGGAACCAGGATGCCAGCCACAGCTTCTTCAGCTGGTTCTCAAACCATAGCCTCCCAGAAGCTGACAGGATTGCTGAGGTGGGGCCCCTCCTGGCATTGCCAGGGAAGACCTTGCTAGGCTTGCCCTTGGATGCCTGGGGGATTGGGAGTAGGCTCTGGGACTTGTGCTCATAGCTCCCTTCCCCTGTCTCTTTCAACAGATTATCAAGAATGACCTGTGGGTTAACCCTGTGCGTTACTACATGATGGGAGAAGGGGGCTACAGAACAAGCAGAAAGAAGCAAGAAAAAGAAGAAAGGTGATGGCGGAGGGTTGATGACTGAGAGGTGGTTTGTTAGGGGTGGGGCAAAGACTAGGCTAGTGTCAGAGTATTCGTAGAGCCAAAAGGGACCTTTGAGATGATCCAATCCAATATGTTTTACAAGTGGGTAAAACATATTGCCCAGAAATGGGGTGTGATTGGCTGAGGTTATGCTGTCAGGGGCAGAAATGGGATTCTCCCCACCTAGCCTCATACCTGGGAATCCTTGTAGCCTACTGCCTCCCCTGTTACTTACCACCTTTCATTGTTTATCTGCTCTGATTACATCACCTCTCACCAACCCTATACTGAACCCCAGACTTCTCCACAGTAAAAACAAGGATGAATATGAAGTGGTGATTGTGGAAGACTCTGATGACTATCACATCATGGAAGACATTATTGGAGAGACCTCAGACAGTGATGGTATCACCGACAATGAGACCATTCATGACGTCAAGATCTCTGACTTCATGGAGACCACTGACTGCTTCGAGACCACTGACAACGAGATAACTGACATCAGTGAGAGCCTCTGTGACAGCGAGTGCCCTGGCCACAATGAGACCACCGACAACAACGAAAGCCCCAATGACAATGAAACCACTGATAACAATGAGAGTGCTGATGACAAGGAGAGTACCGATGACAACACTGAGAACCCTGAAGATGAAAACACTGATGAGAACGAAGAGAACCCTGATGACAACGATGAGAATGCTGATGAGAACCCCATTGGTGATGATGAGAACCCCAAAGGTGGCAACCAAAGCAGCAATGGCAACAACCAGGACAGCAGTGACAGTGACAATGAAGGAGACAATGATGGCAGTGATATTGAAGATAATGATGGCAACGAAGGTGACAATGAAGGTAGTGATGATGATGGCA